AATATTGGGCTTGATTTATTGCCATGTAAACGGCTGTTTCCAGATTCATCCACACCTCCCAGCTAAATGTCTGTGGTTTCTGACTGAATTAACCTGAAAATCGCAGTGAAACTCGATTTGGAGGCAATTAATATCTGTCACCTCAGCCAAAGTGTTCCATTTTATTTGCCAAAACACAAAAACTCACCTTAGTCTTCTTACCTGTAGATTTCAAAACTTCAAATGCCTATTTGTTTTGTTTTTTATTTCATCATTGCTAGTCTGCCCAAGCTCTTGTTTGTATTGTGTCAGAATACAAAATTTGGCAAGGAAGAAGGCAAAACCGACTCAGACCCAGAAAACATTTAGGAAATTGCCACTCAAGAATCCAAAAGTTAGCGGAGGAACCTACAACAATGACAGCAAGCCAGAATTGGAGCAAGCCAACAGCTGTGCCCTGATTGAAAAAGAACCTTCCTCTTGTGCCCTGAGCTCAATATAGCAGATTCAAAACCAAAGCTCACATCAGAAAATTCATTACAAACCATTATAAATCAGAAAAATGAGAAAAAAGCCAAAGAAATGCAGGAGTTCTTAGTAATATTGGGCTTGATTTATTGCCATGTAAACGGCTGTTTCCAGATTCATCCACACCTCCCAGCTGAGTGTCTGTGGTTTCTGACTGAATTAACCTGAAAATCGCAGTGAAACTCGGTTTGGAGGCAATTAATATCTGTCACCTCAGCCAAAGTGTTCCATTTTATTTTCCAAAACTCAAAAACTCACCTTAGTCTTCTTACCTGTAGATTTCTAAGCTTCAAATGCCTATTTGTTGTGTTTTTTATTTCATCATTGCTAGTCTGTCCAAACTCTTGTTTGTATTGCGTCAGAATACAAAATTTGGGAATAAGAAGGAAAAACCGTGTCAGACCCAGAAAACATTTAGGAAATTGCCACTCAAGAAACCAAAAGTCAGCTGAGGAACCCACAACAATGACAGCAAGGCAGAATTGGAGCAAGCCAACAGCTGTGCCCTGATTGAAAGAGAACCTTCCTCTTGTGCCCTGAACTCAATATACCAGCCTCAAAACCAAAGCTCACATCAGAAAATTCATTACAAACCATGATAAATAAGAAAAATGAGAAAAAAGCCAAAGAAATGCAGGAGTTCTTAGGGATATTGGGCTTGAATTATGGCCATGTAAACGGCTGTTTCCAGATACATCCACACCTCCCAACTGAGTGTCTTTGGTTTCTGAATGAATTAACAAAAAAATCGCAGTGAAACTCGGTTTTGGAGGCAATTAATATCTGTCACCTCAGCCAGAGTGTTCAATTTTATTTTCATAAACACAAAAACTTACCTTGCTCGTGTTACCTGTACATATATAAGCTTCAAACGCCTATTTGTTGTGTTTTTTATTTCATAATGGCTACTCTGTCCAAACTCTTGTTTCTATTACGTCAGAATAGAAAATTTGGAAAGGAAGAAGGCAAAACCAACTCAGACCCAGAAAACATGTAGGAAATTGCCGCTAAAGAAACCAAAAACAGCTGAGGCACCCAAACAAGGACAGCAAGCCAGAATTGCAACAAGCCAACAGCTGTGTCCTGTTTGAAAAAGACCATTGATCCGGTGCCCTGAACTCAATATGCCAGCCTCAAAACCAAAGCTCACATCAGAAAATTCATTACAAACCATGATAAATCAGAAAAATGAGACAAAAGCCAAAGAAATGCACGAGTTCTTAGTGATATTTGGCTGGATTTAGACACAAGGAAACTGGCTGTTTAAAGATTCATCCCCCCCTTCCACTGACTGACTTTGGAATTCTGATTGATTTCACCTCAAAATTGCACTCACACTCAATTTGGAGGGAATTAGAATCTGTCCCCTCAGCAGAAGGGTTCCATGTCATTTTCCAAAACACAGAAACTAATCTTGATCACGTTGCCAGTAGATTTCTAATCCTGAAAGGGCAATTTCTGTGTTTTTTTTTTTTTTCTTTCATTATGGCTACTCTGTCCAAACTCTTGTTTGTATTGCGCAGAATACAAAATGTGGGAAGGAAGAAGGGAAAACCAACTCAGACCCAGAAAACATTTAGGAAATTGCCGCTCAAGAAACCACAAATCTCCTGAGGCACCCAAACAATGACAGCAAGCCAGAATTGGAGCAAGCCAACAGCTGTGCCCTGATTGAAAAACAACCTTCCTCTTGTGCCCTGAACTCAATATGCCAGCCTCAAAACCAAAGCTCACATCAGAAAATTCATTACAAATCATCATAAATAAGAAAAAAGAGAAAAAAGCCAAAGAAATGCAAGAATCCATAATCATAGTGGCTTGAATTAGTTGCAAGGAAACCGGCTGTTCCCGGATTCATCCACCCCTCCAGCTGACTGCCTGTGGAATTCTGACTGAATTAACCTGAAAATCGCAGTGAGACTCAGTTTGGAGGCAATAATATCAGTCACCTCAGCCAAAGTGTTCCATTTTATTTTCCAAATCACAAAAACTCACCTTGGTCATGTTACCCTTAGATTTATAAGCTTCAAACGCTAATTTGTTGTTTTTTTTTTTATTTCATAATGGCTACTCTGTCCAAACTCTTGTTTGTATTGCGCAGAATACAAAATGTGGGAAGGAAGAAGGGAAAACCAACTCAGACCCAGAAAACATTTAGGAAATTGCCGCTCAAGAAACCACAAATCGGCTGAGGCACCCAAAACAATGACAGCAAGCCAGAATTGGAGCAAGCCAACAGCTGTGCCCTGATTGAAAAAGAACCTTCCTCTTGTGCCCTGAACTCAATATGCCAGCCTCAAAACCAAAGCTCACATCAGAAAATTCATTACAAATCATCATAAATAAGAAAAAAGAGAAAAAAGCCAAAGAAATGCAAGAATCCATAATCATAGTGGCTTGAATTAGTTGCAAGGAAACCGGCTGTTCCCGGATTCATCCACCCCTCCAGCTGACTGCCTGTGGAATTCTGACTGAATTAACCTGAAAATCGCAGTGAGACTCAGTTTGGAGGCAATAATATCAGTCACCTCAGCCAAAGTGTTCCATTTTATTTTCCAAATCACAAAAACTCACCTTGGTCATGTTACCCTTAGATTTATAAGCTTCAAACGCTAATTTGTTGTTTTTTTTTTTATTTCATAATGGCTACTCTGTCCAAACTCTTGTTTGTATTGCGCAGAATACAAAATGTGGGAAGGAAGAAGGGAAAACCAACTCAGACCCAGAAAACATTTAGGAAATTGCCGCTCAAGAAACCACAAATCGGCTGAGGCACCCAAAACCTTGAAAGCCAGACAGAATTGGAGCAAGCCAACAGCTGTGCCCTGATTGAACAAGACCATTAATCCAGTGCCCTGAACTCCATATTCCATCCTCAAAACCAAAGCTCACATCAGAAATTTCATTAGAAACCATGATAAATAAGGGAAATCTGAGAAAGCCAAAGAAATTCAAGAGTCCTTTTTGGTATTTGGCTGGATTTAGACACAAAGAAACTGGCTGTTTCCGGATTCATCCCCCCCTTCCACAGACAGACTTTGGAATTCTGATTGAATTCACCTCAAAATCTCACTCACACTCAATTTGGAGGGAATTAGGATCTGTCCCCTCAGCAGAAGGGTTCCATGTCATTTTCCAAAACACAGAAACTCATCTTGGTCGTGTTGCCTATAGATTTCTAATCCTGAAAGGGCAATTTGCTGTGTTTTTTTTTTCTTTCATAATGGCTACCCTGTCCAAAATCTTGCTTATGTTGCATCAGAATACAAAATTTGGGAATAAGAAGGCAAATCCGACTCAGACCCAGAAAACATTTAGGAAACTGCAACACAAGAATCCACAAATCAGCTGAGGCACCCAAAACAATGACAGCAAGCAGAATTGCAGCAAGACAACAGCTGTGCCCTGATTGAAAAAGAACCTTCCTCTTGTGCCCTGAACTCCATATTGCAGCCTCAAAACCAAAGCTCACATCAGAAAATTCATTACAAACAATGATAAATAAGAAAAATCAGAAAAAAAGCCAAAGAAATGCAAGAATACATAATGATATTGGGCTTGATTTAGCCGCAAGGAAGCCAGCAGTTCCCAGATTCATCCACGCCTAAAGCTGACTGCCTGTGGAATTCTCACAGAATGAACCCGAAAATCACAGTGAAACTCCGTTTGGAGGCAATTAATATCTGTCACCTCAGCCAAAGTTTTCCATTTTATTTTCCAAAACAAAAAAACTCACTTTGGTCGTGTTACCTGCAGATTTAAAGTCTTGAAATGCCTATTTGTTGTGTTGTTTATTTCATAATGGCTACTCTGTACAAACTCTTCTTTGCATTGCATCAGAATACTAAATTTGGGAAGGAAGAAGGCAAAACCAACTCAGACCCAGAAAACATTTAGGAAATTGCCGCTCAAGAAACCACAAATCAGCTGAGGCACCCAAAACCTTGAAAGCAAGACAGAATTGGAGCAAGCCAACAGCTGTGCCCTGATTGAACAAGACCATTAATCCAGTGCCCAGAACTCCATATGCAGCTTCAAAACCAAAGCTCCCATCAGAAAATTCATTACAAACCATGATAAATAAGGGAAATCTGAGAAAGCCAAAGAAATTCAAGAGTCCTTTGTGGTATTTGGCTGGATTTAGACAGAAGGAAACTGGCTGTTTCCAGATTCATCCCCCCCTTCCACAGACAGACCTTGGAATTCTGATTGAATTCACCTCAAAATCGCACTCACACTCAATTTGGAGGGAATTAGAATCTGTCCCCTCAGCAGAAGTGTTCCATGTCATTTTCCAAAACACAGAAACTCACCTTGGTCGCGTTGCCTGTAGATTTCTAATCCTGAAAGGTCAATTTGTTGTGTTTTTTTTTTTTCTTTATAATGGCTACTCTGCCAAAATCTTGCTTGTATTGCATCAGAATACAAAATTTGGGAATAAGAAGGCAAAACGGACTCAGACCCAGAAAACATTTAGGAAATTGCCCCTCAAGAAACCACAAATCGGCTGAGGCACCCAAAACAATGACAGCAAGCCAGAATTGGAGCAAGCCAACAGCTGTGCCCTGATTGAAAAAGAACCTTCCTCTTGTGCCCTGAACTCAATATGCCAGCCTCAAAACCAAAGCTCACATCAGAAAATTCATTACAAACCATGATGAATAAGAAAAATGAGAAAAAAGCCAAAGAAATGCAGGAGTTCTTAGGGATATTGGGCTTGAATTATGGCCATGTAAACGGCTGTTTCCAGATACATCCACACCTCCCAAATGAGTGTCTTTGGTTTCTGAATGAATTAACAAAAAAATCGCAGTGAAACTCGGTTTTGGAGGCAATTAATATTTGTCACCTCAGCCAGAGTGTTCAATTTTATTTTCATAAACACAAAAACTTACCTTGCTCGTGTTACCTGTACATATATAAGCTTCAAACGCCTATTTGTTGTGTTTTTTATTTCATAATGGCTACTCTGTCCAAACTCTTGTTTGTATTACGTCAGAATAGAAAATTTGGAAAGGAAGAAGGCAAAACCAACTCAGACCCAGAAAACACGTAGGAAATTGCCACTAAAGAAACCAAAAACCGCTGAGGCACGCAAAACAATGACAGCAAGCCAGAATTGCAACAAGCCAACAGCTGTGTCCTGTTTGAAAAAGACCATTGATCCGGTGCCCTGAACTCAATATGCCAGCCTCAAAACCAAAGCTCACATCAGAAAATTCATTACAAACCATGATAAATCAGAAAAATGAGACAAAAGCCAAAGAAATGCACGAGTTCTTAGTGATATTTGGCTGGATTTAGACACAAGGAAACTGGCTGTTTAAAGATTCATCCCCCCCTTCCACTGACTGACTTTGGAATTCTGATTGATTTCACCTCAAAATTGCACTCACACTCAATTTGGAAAGGAATTAGAATCTGTCCCCTCAGCAGAAGGGTTCCATGTCATTTTCCAAAACACAGAAACTAATCTTGATCACGTTGCCAGTAGATTTCTAATCCTGAAAGGGCAATTTCTGAGTTTTTTTTTTTTCTTTCATTATGGCTACTCTGTCCAAATCTTGCTTGTATTGCATCAGAATACAAAATATGGGAATAAGAAGGCAAAACCGACTCAGACCCAGAAAACATTAAGGAAATTGCCGCTCAAGAAACCACAAATCGGCTGAGGTTCCCAAAACAATGACAGCAAGCCAGAATTGGAGCAAGCCAACAGCTGTGCCCTGATTGAAAAAGAACCTTCCTCTTGTGCCCTGAACTCAATATGCCAGCCTCAAAACCAAAGCTCACATCAGAAAATTCATTACAAACCATGATAAATAAGGGAAATCTGAGAAAGCCAAAGAAATTCAAGAGTCCTTTGTGGTATTTGGCTGGATTTAGACACAAAGAAACTGGTTGTTTAAAGATTCATCCCCCCCTTCCACAGACAGACTTTGGAATTCTGATTGAATTCACCTCAAAATCGCACTCACACTCCATTTGGAGGGAATTAGAATCTGTCCCCTCAGCAGAAGGGTTCCATGTCATTTTCCAAAACACAGAAACTCATCTTGGTCGCGTTGCCTGTAGATTTCTAATCCTGAAAGGTCAATTTGTTGTGTTTTTTTTTTTCTTTCATAATGGCTACTCTGCCAAAATCTTGCTTGTATTGCATCAGAATACAAAATTTGGGAAGGAAGAAGGCAAAACCGACTCAGACCCAGAAAACATTTAGGAAATTGCCGCTCAAGTAACCACAAATCGGCTGAGGCACCCAAAACAATGACAGCAAGCCAGAATTGCAGCAAGCCAACATCTGTGCCCTGATTGAAAAAGAACCTTCCTCTTGTGCCCTGAGCTCAATATACCAGCCTCAAAACCAAAGCTCACATCAGAAAATTCATTACAAACCATGATAAATAAGAAAAATGAGAAAAAAGCCAAAGAAATGCAGGAGTTCTTAGTAATATTGGGCTTGATTTATTGCCATGAAAACGGCTGTTTCCAGATTCATCCACACCTCCCAGCTGAGTATCTGTGGTTTCTGACTGAATTAACCTGAAAATCGCAGTGAAACTCGGTTTGGAGGCAATTAATATCTGTCACCTCAGCCAAAGTGTTCCATTTTATCTTCCAAAACTCAAAAACTCACCTTAGTCTTCTTACCTGTAGATTTCAAAACTTCAAATGCCTATTTGTTTTGTTTTTTATTTCATAATGGCTACTCTGCCCAAGCTCTTGTTTGTATTGCGTCAGAATACAAAATTTGGCAAGGAAGAAGGCAAAACCAACTCAGACCCAGAAAACATTTAGGAAATTGCCACTCAAGAATCCAAAAGTCAGCTGAGGAACCTACAACAATGGCAGCAAGCCAGAATTGGAGAAAGCCAACAGCTGTGCCCTGATTGAAAAAGAACCTTCCTCTTGTGCCCTTAGCTCAATATACCAGCCTCAAAACCAAAGCTCACATCAGAAAATTCATTACAAACCATGATAAATAAGAAAAATGAGAAAAAAGCCAAAGAAATACAGGAGTTCTTAGTAATATTGGGCTTGATTTATTGCCATGTAAACGGCTGTTTCCAGATTCATCCACACCTCCCAGCTGAGTGTCTGTGGTTTCTGACTGAATTAACCTGAAAATCGCAGTGAAACTCGGTTTGGAGGCAATTAATATCTGTCACCTCAGCCAAAGTGTTCCATTTTATTTTCCAAAACTCAAAAACTCACCTTAGTCTTCTTACCTGTAGATTTCTAAGCTTCAAATGCCTATTTGTTTTGTTTTTTATTTCATCATTGCTAGTCTGTCCAAACTCTTGTTTGTATTGCGTCACAATACAAAATTTGGGATTAAGAAGGAAAAACCGTGTCAGACCCAGAAAACATTTAGGAAATTGCCACTCAAGAAACCAAAAGTCAGCTGAGGAACCCACAACAATGACAGCAAGCCAGAATTGGAGAAAGACAACAGCTGTGCCCTGATTGAAAGAGAACCTTCCTCTTGTGCCCTGAACTCAATATGCCAGCCTCGAAAGCAAAGCTCACATCGGAAAATTCATTACAAACCATGATAAATAAGAAAAATGAGAAAAAAGCCAAAGAAATGCAGGAGTTCTTAGGGATATTGGGCTTGAATTATGGCCATGTAAACGGCTGTTTCCAGATTCATCCACACCTCCCAACTGAGTGTCTTTGGTTTCTGAATGAATTAACAAAAAAATCGCAGTGAAACTCGGTTTTGGAGGCAATTAATATCTGTCACCTCAGCCAGAGTGTTCAATTTTACTTTCGAAAACACAAAAACTTACCTTGCTCGTGTTACCTGTACATATATAAGCTTCAAACGCATATTTGTTGTGTTTTTTATTTCATAATGGCTACTCTGTCCAAACTCTTGTTTGTATTACGTCAGAATACAAAATTTGGAAAGGAAGAAGGCAAAACCAACTCAGACCCAGAAAACATGTAGGAAATTGCCGCTCAAGAAACCACAAATCAGCTGAGGCACCCAAAACCTTGAAAGCAAGACAGAATTGGAGCAAGCCAACAGCTGTGCCCTGTTTTAAAAAGACCATTCCTGCGGTGCCCTGAACTCCATATTGCAGCCTCAAAACCAAAGCTCCCATCAGAAAATTCATTACAAACCACGATAAATAAGGGAAATCTGAGAAAGCCAAAGAAATTCAAGAGTCCTTTGTGGTATTTGGCTGGATTTAGACACAAAGAAACTGGCTGTTTCCAGATTCATCCCCCCCTTCCACAGACAGACCTTGGAATTCTGATTGAATTCACCTCAAAATCGCACTCACACTCCATTTGGAGGGAATTAGAATCTGTCCCCTCAGCAGAAGTGTTCCATGTCATTTTCCAAAACACAGAAACTCATCTTGGTCGAGTTGCCTGTAGATTTCTAATCCTGAAAGGGCAATTTCCTGTGTATTTTTTTTTCTTTCGTAATGGCTACTCTGCCAAAATCTTGCTTGTATTGCATCAGAATACAAAATTTGGGAATAAGAAGGCCAAACCGACTCAGACCCAGAAAACATTTAGGAAATTGCCGCTCAAGAAACCACAAATCGGCTGAGGCACCCAAAACAATGACAGCAAGCCAGAATTGGAGCAAGCCAACAGCGGTGCCCTGATTGAAAAAGAACCTTCCTCTTGTGCCCTGAGCTCAATATACCAGCCTCAAAACCAAAGCTCACATCAGAAAATTCATTACAAACCATGATAAAGAAGAAAAATGAGAAAAAAGCCAAAGAAATGCAGGAGTTCTTAGTAATATTGGGCTTGATTTTTTGCCATGTAAACGGCTGTTTCCAGATTCATCCACACCTCCCAACTGAGTGTCTTTGGTTTCTGAATGAATTAACAAAAAAATCGCAGTGAAACTCGGTTTGGAGGCAATTAATATCTGTCACCTCAGCCAAAGTGTTCCATTTTATCTTCCAAAACCCAAAAACTCACCTTAGTCTTCTTACCTGTAGATTTCAAAACTTCAAATGCCTATTTGTTTTGTTTTTTTTTTATTTCATAATTGCTACTCTGTCCAAACTCTTGTTTGTATTGCGTCAGAATACAAAATTTGGGAATAAGAAGGAAAAACCAACTCAGACCCAGAAAACCTTTAGGAAATTGCCACTCAAGAAACCAAAAGTCAGCTGAGGAACCCACAACAATGACAGCAAGCCAGAATTGGAGCAAGCCAACAGCTGTGCCCTGATTGAAAAAGAACCTTCCTCTTGTGCCCTGAACTCAATATGCCAGCCTCAAAACCAAAGCTCACATCAGAAAATTCATTACAAACCATGATAAATAAGGGAAATCTGAGAAAGCCAAAGAAATTCAAGAGTCCTTTGTGGTATTTGGCTGGATTTAGACACAAAGAAACTGGTTGTTTAAAGATTCATCCCCCCCTTCCACAGACAGACTTTGGAATTCTGATTGAATTCACCTCAAAATCGCACTCACACTCAATTTGGAGGGAATTAGAATCTGTCCCCTCAGCAGAAGGGTTCCATGTCATTTTCCAAAACACAGAAACTCATCTTGGTCGCGTTGCCTGTAGATTTCTAATCCTGAAAGGGCAATTTGCTGTGTTTTTTTTTTTTTTCTTTCATAATGGCTACTCTGCCAAAATCTTGCTTGTATTGCATCAGAATACAAAATTTGGGAAGGAAGAAGGCAAAACCGACTCAGACCCAGAAAACATTTAGGAAATTGCCGCTCAAGTAACCACAAATCGGCTGAGGCACCCAAAACAATGACAGCAAGCCAGAATTGCAGCAAGCCAACATCTGTGCCCTGATTGAAAAAGAACCTTCCTCTTGTGCCCTGAGCTCAATATACCAGCCTCAAAACCAAAGCTCACATCAGAAAATTCATTACAAACCATGATAAATAAGAAAAATGAGAAAAAAGCCAAAGAAATGCAGGAGTTCTTAGTAATATTGGGCTTGATTTATTGCCATGAAAACGGCTGTTTCCAGATTCATCCACACCTCCCAGCTGAGTATCTGTGGTTTCTGACTGAATTAACCTGAAAATCGCAGTGAAACTCGGTTTGGAGGCAATTAATATCTGTCACCTCAGCCAAAGTGTTCCATTTTATCTTCCAAAACTCAAAAACTCACCTTAGTCTTCTTACCTGTAGATTTCAAAACTTCAAATGCCTATTTGTTTTGTTTTTTATTTCATAATGGCTACTCTGCCCAAGCTCTTGTTTGTATTGCGTCAGAATACAAAATTTGGCAAGGAAGAAGGCAAAACCAACTCAGACCCAGAAAACATTTAGGAAATTGCCACTCAAGAATCCAAAAGTCAGCTGAGGAACCTACAACAATGGCAGCAAGCCAGAATTGGAGAAAGCCAACAGCTGTGCCCTGATTGAAAAAGAACCTTCCTCTTGTGCCCTTAGCTCAATATACCAGCCTCAAAACCAAAGCTCACATCAGAAAATTCATTACAAACCATGATAAATAAGAAAAATGAGAAAAAAGCCAAAGAAATACAGGAGTTCTTAGTAATATTGGGCTTGATTTATTGCCATGTAAACGGCTGTTTCCAGATTCATCCACACCTCCCAGCTGAGTGTCTGTGGTTTCTGACTGAATTAACCTGAAAATCGCAGTGAAACTCGGTTTGGAGGCAATTAATATCTGTCACCTCAGCCAAAGTGTTCCATTTTATTTTCCAAAACTCAAAAACTCACCTTAGTCTTCTTACCTGTAGATTTCTAAGCTTCAAATGCCTATTTGTTTTGTTTTTTATTTCATCATTGCTAGTCTGTCCAAACTCTTGTTTGTATTGCGTCACAATACAAAATTTGGGATTAAGAAGGAAAAACCGTGTCAGACCCAGAAAACATTTAGGAAATTGCCACTCAAGAAACCAAAAGTCAGCTGAGGAACCCACAACAATGACAGCAAGCCAGAATTGGAGAAAGACAACAGCTGTGCCCTGATTGAAAGAGAACCTTCCTCTTGTGCCCTGAACTCAATATGCCAGCCTCGAAAGCAAAGCTCACATCGGAAAATTCATTACAAACCATGATAAATAAGAAAAATGAGAAAAAAGCCAAAGAAATGCAGGAGTTCTTAGGGATATTGGGCTTGAATTATGGCCATGTAAACGGCTGTTTCCAGATTCATCCACACCTCCCAACTGAGTGTCTTTGGTTTCTGAATGAATTAACAAAAAAATCGCAGTGAAACTCGGTTTTGGAGGCAATTAATATCTGTCACCTCAGCCAGAGTGTTCAATTTTACTTTCGAAAACACAAAAACTTACCTTGCTCGTGTTACCTGTACATATATAAGCTTCAAACGCATATTTGTTGTGTTTTTTATTTCATAATGGCTACTCTGTCCAAACTCTTGTTTGTATTACGTCAGAATACAAAATTTGGAAAGGAAGAAGGCAAAACCAACTCAGACCCAGAAAACATGTAGGAAATTGCCGCTCAAGAAACCACAAATCAGCTGAGGCACCCAAAACCTTGAAAGCAAGACAGAATTGGAGCAAGCCAACAGCTGTGCCCTGTTTTAAAAAGACCATTCCTGCGGTGCCCTGAACTCCATATTGCAGCCTCAAAACCAAAGCTCCCATCAGAAAATTCATTACAAACCACGATAAATAAGGGAAATCTGAGAAAGCCAAAGAAATTCAAGAGTCCTTTGTGGTATTTGGCTGGATTTAGACACAAAGAAACTGGCTGTTTCCAGATTCATCCCCCCCTTCCACAGACAGACCTTGGAATTCTGATTGAATTCACCTCAAAATCGCACTCACACTCCATTTGGAGGGAATTAGAATCTGTCCCCTCAGCAGAAGTGTTCCATGTCATTTTCCAAAACACAGAAACTCATCTTGGTCGAGTTGCCTGTAGATTTCTAATCCTGAAAGGGCAATTTCCTGTGTATTTTTTTTTCTTTCGTAATGGCTACTCTGCCAAAATCTTGCTTGTATTGCATCAGAATACAAAATTTGGGAATAAGAAGGCCAAACCGACTCAGACCCAGAAAACATTTAGGAAATTGCCGCTCAAGAAACCACAAATCGGCTGAGGCACCCAAAACAATGACAGCAAGCCAGAATTGGAGCAAGCCAACAGCGGTGCCCTGATTGAAAAAGAACCTTCCTCTTGTGCCCTGAGCTCAATATACCAGCCTCAAAACCAAAGCTCACATCAGAAAATTCATTACAAACCATGATAAAGAAGAAAAATGAGAAAAAAGCCAAAGAAATGCAGGAGTTCTTAGTAATATTGGGCTTGATTTTTTGCCATGTAAACGGCTGTTTCCAGATTCATCCACACCTCCCAACTGAGTGTCTTTGGTTTCTGAATGAATTAACAAAAAAATCGCAGTGAAACTCGGTTTGGAGGCAATTAATATCTGTCACCTCAGCCAAAGTGTTCCATTTTATCTTCCAAAACCCAAAAACTCACCTTAGTCTTCTTACCTGTAGATTTCAAAACTTCAAATGCCTATTTGTTTTGTTTTTTTTTTTATTTCATAATTGCTACTCTGTCCAAACTCTTGTTTGTATTGCGTCAGAATACAAAATTTGGGATTAAGAAGGAAAAACCAACTCAGACCCAGAAAACCTTTAGGAAATTGCCACTCAAGAAACCAAAAGTCAGCTGAGGAACCCACAACAATGACAGCAAGCCAGAATTGGAGCAAGCCAACAGCTGTGCCCTGATTGAAAAAGAACCTTCCTCTTGTGCCCTGAACTCAATATGCCAGCCTCAAAACCAAAGCTCACATCAGAAAATTCATTACAAACCATGATAAATAAGAAAAATGAGAAAAAAGCCAAAGAAATGCAGGAGTTCTTAGGGATATTGGGCTTGAATTATGGCCATGTAAACGGCTGTTTCCAGATTCATCCACACCTCCCAACTGAGTGTCTTTGGTTTCTGAATGAATTAACAAAAAAATCGCAGTGAAACTCGGTTTTGGAGGCAATTAATATCTGTCACCTCAGCCAGAGTGTTCAATTTTACTTTCGAAAACACAAAAACTTACCTTGCTCGTGTTACCTGTACATATATAAGCTTCAAACGCATATTTGTTGTGTTTTTTATTTCATAATGGCTACTCTGTCCAAACTCTTGTTTGTATTACGTCAGAATACAAAATTTGGAAAGGAAGAAGGCAAAACCAATTCAGACCCAGAAAACATGTAGGAAATTGCCGCTAAAGAAACCAAAAACCGCTGAGGCACGCAAAACAATGACAGCAAGCCAGAATTGCAACAAGCCAACAGCTGTGTCCTGTTTGAAAAAGACCATTGATCCGGTGCCCTGAACTCAATATGCCAGCCTCAAAACCAAAGCTCACATCAGAAAATTCATTACAAACCATGATAAATCAGAAAAATGAGACAAAAGCCAAAGAAATGCACGAGTTCTTAGTGATATTTGGCTGGATTTAGACACAAGGAAACTGGCTGTTTAAAGATTCATCCCCCCTTCCACTGACTGACTTTGGAATTCTGATTGATTTCACCTCAAAATCGCACTCACACTCAATTTGGAGGGAATTAGAATCTGTCCCCTCAGCAGAAGGGTTCCATGTCATTTTCCAAAACACAGAAACTAATGTTGATCATGGTGCCAGTAGATTTCTAATCCTGAAAGGGCAATTTCTGTGTTTTTTTTTTCTTTCATAATGGCTACTCTGTCCAAATCTTGCTTGTATTGCATCAGAATACAAAATATGGGAATAAGAAGGCAAAACCGACTCAGACCCAGAAAACATTAAGGAAATTGCCGCTCAAGAATCCACAAATCAGCTGAGGCACCCAAAACAATGACAGCAAGCCAGAATTGGAGCAAGCCAACAGCTGTGCCCTGTTTGAAAAAGACCATTCCTCCACTACCCTGAACTCCATATTCCAGCCTCAAAACCAAAGCTCACATCAGAAAATTCATTACAAACCATGATAAAAAGGGAAATGAGAAAAAGCCAAAGAAATGCAAGCCTGTGGAATCCTAACTGAATTAACTGAATTAATCTGAAAATCGCAGTGAAACTCGGTTTTGGAGGCAATTAATATCTGTCACCTCAGCCAGAGTGTTCAATTTTATTTCGAAAACAAAAAATCAAACCTTGGTCTTGTGACCAGTACATATATAAGCTTCAAACGCATATTTGTTGTGTTTTTTATTTCATAATGGCTACTCTGTCCAAACTCTTGTTTGTATTACGCCAGAATACAAAATTTGGGAAGGAAGAAGGCAAAACCTACTCAGAGCCAGAAAACATGTAGGAAATTGCCGCTCAAGAAACCACAAATCAGCTGAGGCACCCAAAACCTTGAAAGCAAGCCAGAATTGGAGCAAGCCAACAGCTGTGCCCTGATTGAACTAGACCATTAATCCAGTGCCGTGAACTCCATATTCCAGCCTCAAAACCAAAGCTCACACAAAAAAAAAAATCATTACAAACAATGATAAATAAGGGAAATCTGAGAAAGCCAAAGTAATTCAAGAGTCCTTTGTGGTATTTGGCTGGATTTAGACAGAATGAAACAGGCTGTTTCCGGATTCATCCCCCCCTTCCACAGACTGACTTTGGAATTCTGACTCAATTC